TCTGATTTTAAGTATAGGTTTCTAGAAATCTGATTTTAAGTATAGGTCTCTGCATAACTCAAAATGGGATGGTTGGGCAAAGACCTTATTTTAAAAATATTTTAAAATTTAATTGAAAGTAACCAATATTTTATATTCATGGTGTTGTTTTATTTTTGTTTCTTTGTAATTTGTAGTATCATCTCCAGGGATAAAGTGATGAAAAAACCTTGTTCCAGGGACTGTGCATCCATCAGCAAATCTAGAGGACAATCTTTTCTTGTGGCTTTTAATTCTTTAATAGATAACAAAAAGTAGATGATATTCTTTGTTTTCTTGACAGAAATGAAACAAGTCCTCAACAGTCAAGATTTGATTTTTTGTAGTTTGTTTGAAGTTTTCATTTGCAGCAAGTTATTTAGTAATGCCACCAATGTCATCATATGTAGACTTTCCATGACTTGTTGCAAAAAAGCTCCATACTGCATCCAGGCCAAAATCATTTTTATGGAAACAAATTCAGGAGGTTTTATAGTTTTTGTACAGGCCTTGAACGCCCTTCAGAAAAATATATCACAGACTTAACTTTTGGAAGATATTCTTTGTTATAAGATATTATAAATTTTTGAACAAACTAAACAATTGCCATGTCATGATTCCTATTTTCTGATAAAATAAAAAGACTTTAACTCATCAGTTCTGTAGTAGATGTGTGATTTTCTGCAAAATCAATGCAATGTGTCTCTGTAAAGGTTTCCTTTATCTGTTTAACATATTTATTCTATGCTTTAGAAATGAAAATGTTTAGGTCAATTTAGGTGGATTTTACTCATTAGTAACTCTTTAAAATTCTTGATGTCACTCAAATGAGTGACAAGTTTTACACAATCTGTTGATTCTCACTGTTTGAAGCTGTTTTCTTTCTCATCATCAAACTCTTTCAATTTTATTTTAAATGGCTCTGTGAGAGCTACAGTTTTTTGCTCAATTACTGCATCTCGGCAGCATACATTCAGCATTTTCTGTCTATATTTCTGAGATGAGGTATTAGTCTGAATAATGTAAATAGTGTTCAGCATTTTCTATATGACAAACAAGTAAGTCTCATCCTACTTGTCTCATCCCACTTGATTGCATTTTAGTGATAAGTAAATACACAGACGTTACGAGTTCCAGATGCATCAGCCAAAACATACCACTTTGGTCGCAAAATACAGAATTTAGAAATCCAATGATCAGGATGATGTAATTTGAACTGTTTATGGAATTCTTTCAAATTTAAAAGTATTAATCTTTTTTGCTTATGAGTGTGCCTTGAAATATTGATATAGTCTTGAAAACTGTCTTGAAAACTGGTCATCTTCATAAAAGTCTTTCATTGTGATAATGGTCTCCTCTGGTAGGACTTTACCTAATTTTGCAATTGTTAAAATCTGTATCTTTTCAGGTTACCTTGCATATTTCAACTTCTCTTTCATTGTTCAAGTGAGAATATCAAGGTCTTTGACAGCATTTCTTGCTTTTAGAGATGTTTGCTCTTTTTTACTGAATGATAAAGGTAGACTGTAGGCATCTGTGATTGTTGTTTTCACATTTTCTATAACCTTTTCCAGTTTCGTTTTTTTTGTCTTGCTTTTTCAATGGTATAGTGGAACACTCTACAACTTTAAAAGTGACTTGTCTAATGATACAAATGTAGTATCAAGTTTTCTCTTTTTTTTTTTTTTGTGAATGAGTTAATTTATCATCTAATTCTTAAACAAGGTTACTCTCCATTGATAGATCAGAAGTGTCTTCTTCTGAAGATCCCATGGCATTGGCTTAATAACATTTGCTGCATAAATTCAATCTGAGCATTAACGTTAAACCATTAGCTTCAAGCTTTTGGGCAAGTGCCAAAGAGACATGGAGAACACCGAAAGAATAAAAATTTTTTTTTTCAAAATATGATGCTTTATTTTCCTTTTTTCAAATTGCAAAACATCTTTTTTCGGAACTTTGTAAAAGAAAATACAGATGAATAATTACCTTGAATGAAAATAATGGAAAAGGATTTTCTTTCCTTTTTTTTTTCTTTTTTTCTTTCCTTTTTTTTTTCTTTTTTTCTTTCCTTTTTTTTTCTTTTTTTCTTTCCTTTTTTTTCTTCTTCTTTTTTTCTTTCCTTTTTTTCTTTCTCTTTTTTCCTTCTTTCTCTTTTTTCCTTCTTTCTCTTTTTTTCCTTCTTTCTCTTTTTTTCCTTCTTTCTTTTTTTTCTTTCTTTTTTTCCTTCTTTTTTTTTTTTTCTTTCTCTTTTTTCCTTCTTTCTCTTTTTTCCTTCTTTCTCTTTTTTTCCTTCTTTCTCTTTTTTCCTTCTTTCTCTTTTTTCCTTCTTTCTCTTTTTTTCCTTCTTTCTCTTTTTTTCCTTCTTTCTCTTTTTTCCTTCTTTTTCCTTTTTCTTCTTTTTCCTTTTTCTTCTTTTTCCTTTTTCTTCTTTTTCCTTTTTCTTCTTTTTCCTTTTTTTTCTTTTTCCTTTTTTTCTTTTTTCTTCCTTTTTCTTTTTTCTTCCTTTTTCTTCCTTTTTCTTTTTTCTTCCTTTTTCTTTTTTCTTCCTTTTTCTTTTTTCTTCCTTTTTCTTTTTTCTTCCTTTTTCTTTTTTCTTCTTTTTTTCCTTTTTCTTTCCTTTTTCTTTTCTTTTTTCTTCTTCTTTTCTTTTTTTCTATTTAGCTTAAGAAATTTAATATCCTACATATTGTTTCAATATATAATATTTTGCTTAGCCACAGGCTAGGCATTATCATTTAGTAACATTATTTGTCAAAATTAGGCTTAACCATTCTAGAAAATATTCCTGACACAAATAAGTCCATACTTTCCAAGACATTTATCTCAACTTTGACAAACTAGACAAATCAACAATATGAGATAAAAAAAACAAAAAAACCTGACAAATAACTATAGAGGGACATCAGACAAAAGTAACTGTAGAAACATCTATATTTGTTCTCGTAAAAGATGTTTTTTCCAGTAATCATTTATGTTTTAAAAAATAAATTTGATTCATGTTCAAATGGCACATGACTCCAAACATAAAAAAGTGTAATCAACAAGAAAAAAAATAATCACCTTTTGATTTTCATTTGTGGTTTACAGCTGTTTTTCTTGAACCTCTTTCTTTAGTAGTTAATGTGGTGGTCACATTGATTTTTCTATAAGAATTTGCTACAAGAAATTTCTCTGGGCCCAATTACAGAGCCTGTACTAATTCAAGCCTAATGTTTGTTTTTAAATCATTAAATGTAAATTATATCATTTTTCCTTTAAGGTATGTTTACTTACCTTAGCACTGTTTTAATAATTAGATTATACTTACCTTTCAAGTTTATGCATTTAGAGAAATTTGCAAAGAAGGTCATTGCTCAAAAATTTTGATAAATTCAGTTTTTTTATTTCCAGATCTTTAGTGTAGACATGATTGATTCATGTGATATTGGAATTTTGTGTGATAGTACAGATTTATTTTCAAGGTCTGTAAGAAAACTGGATGAGTTGGATAATGATAATTTACATTTTTTTATTTTTATTTTTTTTCTGCAATGCATATTCCAACACCCATAAAAATTGAAATAAAAAGAGAGAGTTGTTAAAAATTAGGGAATGAATTCAGCAAATACTATGTAATGTTTTTCCAGTGTTATAGACTTTGTCTTTAGAAAAATGAGTCAATATTAGATTATAATTGCAATATTACCAGGAATCAGAATTTTTGTGAAAAATCTATTAAGAGGTCTAGAAGTGATAGCTTTGAGAGACAGTTATGAAACTTATTGGGATTTATTCTCCAAATACTATAGTTTTCAAATGTTGTGCCACTTTTTGCTACTTTTAGTGGGTGAAGATGATATTTTTCAATTTTTCCATGTGGTTCACCACCTAAAAATTTTCATTTTTTTTTTTTTTTTGTTCACCAGAAAACTGCTGAAATCTACTTTTTGGTTACTCCCTCTAAAATAATAAAGGGATATTTGAAGTCCTTGACTAAAACTCTATAAGGGGATCAAATTTCGTTCATTTCTGACCAGTGGATCAGAAGACATAAGGGGTTTTGTGAAATCATTGAGTTAAAAAAATGAAAATGTCTATTGATGGAAAAGGCTGATTCAGCAAAATTTCAATTTGCGATATCTTGAGAACAGTTAGGAATTTTCACTTAAAATTTTCAGGATTTTCTAATGACTATAAGTTCTACAACATATATCAAAATAAAAAAAAAAATTGGGGTGTGGGGGGATTACATTGACGAGTTGAATTGGCATGGAATGATCCTGGTTAGTCCTGTAACTGGATAATTTTTATTTTAACTATTTTGATTATTTTAATCTTTAGCATGAATTACGTTTTATGAAATTTTGCATATAAATCCATTAAAATGTTTTAAATGAATTTATGGCAATGTTTAATCTTTGCAAAAATTCCCTTGACACTGCTATTACTGTTTACACTTTTGACTCCCTCACTCAGCAATGTTTATTTACAAGATTATAAAAATATATAAATCAAGTACAATATGATATTGTGATATTTATTATTTACTTTTTATAAAGATTTATTATTTACAATTTTATAAAGATATAAATTTTCAAAAAAATCTATTTATTCAAAAAATTATAAAAAATGACAAAATTATCACAATATATAAAATAACTACCATGCAATATTTATTATTTACCGTTTTATAAATAACTATGAAAATAAGTTTTTTTTATTCAATCTAATAAATAGTGTTTAATATCTTTCTCAAGAATAATGAAAATGTATAAATCCACTTTGTATTTTATTAAAATTCTAATCATCGCTTTTTAAAAAATAAACATTGCTGAGGGAGTCAAAGATGTATACAGTAATAGGAGTGTCAAGGAAAATATCTGTTCTTTTGGTGTTTTTAGTATAGAAATTAAACATTGCTAAATTTATTTACATATTTTTTTAATGTTTTAAGATCAGGATTGAAGATTGTTAAAGTAAACACGAGATTCAAATAAAAAATGTTTCTTTTTCTGAGACTTTCATATGAATTTTTATTCATATTTTTTTTCCCTCATTCATTCAGTATTTTTGTTGATTCATTCTTGGGCAATCTTCTGGTGAAATTTTGTCTGGTAGCAGACTTGGCAATCAGCATAATTTTTATCAGGAGCTGATTGGAAAATTAATTGGCAAATGATGTGAAAAGAGAGAAAAAATGACTATCTTTTCCTTAATTATTGATACTACATTTTGATTTTCTGCTTTATCTTAGAACACTCCCTCCGCCTATAGCACAAATTGCACTCATGTTGTTCTGTTACCAAAGTATAACATACTTTTTGTTCTCTTTTACTTTAGGTATGTCTGGGATTAGTCACTTGACCACTTTCTTTTTAGCCCTTAGAAAGTACCAGAACTGTTAGAATAAATGACAAGCTTAAGACAAGATGTTAGTGAACGCCTATGCAGGAAATTTAAAAAAAAAAAAAATATATATTAAGTCCATAGTATCACCAAGCTTTTTATGCAATATCTCTGCTTGATATGTTTAGTCACCTTAGGGTTCTTTACCTCCTCCCTATTACATGGTAGAAGAAATAGGTTAATTTATTTGTTTCTATGGATACAAGATATGGTCATTTCGCAGAGTCCTTAGAGTGCCATGGACAGCAAGACACACTAATAAGATACACTCAGAACAAGGTGCATATTGGAAGAGAGCAGATGACACTAAAGAAGCTCTGTTACTTTGGGTATTTTATGCGGTGAGATGGCTTCAATAAGGACATTCTGCTGGGCATAGTAGAGGGAAAGTGACGCCGGGGATAACCACCCATGTCTTGGTTTGAGGATATTAAGAGGTAGACTGGAATAATGGTAGCTGAGGCTGTAAGGGCAGCATCAGACAGAGATGGAGAGGAGTGGTGACCGCAGTGGCATAAAATGCAGTAACTGAATAAATGATGATGTATGGATACATATATATGCAAATAGTAAAATGGAATAAATAAGGCAGTTATATATCTGTCTGATTATTCTAGAATGAACACTTCTAATTCTTTCCAATCATTTCTGTCATCCATAGCTCTATCCAGTTCTTTTATGATTCCAATGTTATTTTTGAGCTGATAAATGACGGTTCTGACTAGTCTACTTTTTGATCTTTAACTATGTTTTAATTGCAGTTGTAAAGGGTGTTTCATTAAGATGGATTATATATAAGGGTGTTTCATTAAGATAGATCAAAGTCACCAGTAAATAAATTGGTGTTATTGGTGAAAATTTATTTATCTATTGGATCATGTTATTTAAGTCATGGTAATTATGTGTGAAAAATAATATCACCTAAATGTCCGCCAAAGAGAGAGAAAAAAATCGTTAGACGCTTAAACTTAATTCACATTTAAAATCATTCCAAGTTATTGGAACACCCTTTATAAGCTGTTCTGGTTATGATGATAAACTACATTCGCATCCCAGGTAAGACAATAAACTACGTTCAACAGGAAAGCCTCTGATCAGGAGGTTTTGCAGAGTGTGGAACCACCTCTTAATTGCTGGTGTTCCCAGGTTCACCCTGACCCGGAGTCATAGCACTTGTTAAGGTCCCAGCTATGGGCAAATAGTTAACCCCCAAACTTGGGTCAAAATACTATGGAAGTGTAAAAATAGGTTTTTATACCAGAAATTACTTTTTTAAAAAAACAATTACCAGCAATACTTTAAAAAATAAAAATATTACCAGCTGTAAAAATTGTTGGCATTAAATAACCCATTGAGGTTGACATGCTGTAAAACAAACCAAACCAAACCCTTTATAAGCTGAGGCATAAGTTCTTGTTGTCCAGCAATGGCCACTAAACTGTGCTCACCCTTCACAGCTTGTGTCTGCAATCTTTATTAGCTTTCCATATAATTCTTCTAGTTAACATTATCTTTGTACATAATATTGGATCCAATGATGAAATGTCTGATTCCTTTCCAAGTTTACAACCACATCAAATGGTTAAGCAATGTTGAGCCTGGTCAGTACCTAGATGGGTGACCACTTGGGAATACCAGGTACTGTAAATTTGGATGTGTGGGTGTTATAATAGACGATGACTCAAAATTGTTAATCAGAGGGCCAAGTTCCAATTCCTGTTGGGTTTGTTATATTCACTCACATGCAAATACCTTTGGGAAAGATATGAATCCACCTCTTCTCCCCTATCTATGGGTTAATTAGTAAGATGTGTATCACGAAATTATTATCTAAAAAAAATCATTCTTACAATCTAGAAATGTTTTCTGGCTTTAAATAACATGCAAAGGGTTGATAAGCTATAGAATATGAATGAATCAACCAATGATACCTTTCCAAGTGATAATGAAAGCAATAAGAATCTTGTCGATTTTAAATCAAATTAAATAATGGTAAACCTATGTATATTTCTGAAATGAAGTATTGTAATTATTTACACTATTTATATTGTTTGGACTGTTGTCCTCATCTTTATTGTCATATTTGGCCATCGTACACTCTGGCCTTCTTCAGAATCTGTCTATATTTCTGAGATGAAGTATTGTAACTATTTACACTATTTACATGGTTTGGACTGTTGTTCTCATCTTTATTGTCATCATCAATCTCGGGTAGATTGTTCTAGTTCTTTTCTGGATATCTCAGTTTCAGTTAATTCCCTTTAGTAACTCTACTCTCCAAGTATTTGTTCACCTCTGCTGTGGTTAGATATTGAACTCATAACTGTTTGGGTCAGGTCACTGGATTACTTCAATCAATGCTTTTATCCACTGGGCCATGTGTTCCTAAGGACAAGGATGTTTTGAGCCCTTTTGTGCTTAGAGCAATATATACTAATTTTTAGAGCATTAGACAAAATTTTAGTTGAATAAAATCTTTGAAATTCATTTAGTTTCATTCACAAAAGTTTGTCTTCAAAATAAGAGGGTATCTTATGCACAATGATGTCTTATATTCTGAAAAGTCTGATATATGTTGTTGCTTACAAAGAAAGTATATTTTTATTATATCACTCTTTACAGAAACAACTTTAAAGTGTTTTTCATTCAACTTGAACGTGTGGCATTTTCGTGTAAGAATTGTGATTCATTTTCCTGCTATTAGTATTTGGTCCTTCTTAAAGGTTAATGATTGAAAAGAAATTTCTGACATAACAGATGGAGAAAAATAGGGACTGGTCAGAATGATAAAGAGAAAAACAGAAAAAAAAAAAAAGAGAAAGCAAACAAGAGAAAAAGGAAAGAAAATGAAATAAAAAAAAAATTGGAATAGGTCTCTGTGTTTTTTTTTTTTTTTTAAAGCATTAGACAAATAGTTTCATTGTTGCTATTTTTTTTATGATAATAAATAAATTATCAATCAAGCAATTATGAATAAATTAGTTCTTATAGTTACCAGATGTAGATTTTTCCTAAAAGATAAAAGATATTTCTGAAGTGTCTATGTGTGAAGTGTATGGGAAGGTGTTGTTATTCATTATTTCTGTAAACATTAAATGTGCCCCTATGAAAGAGGAGTGAAATTCTAACCACACTGCTGCTGTATAGAAATTAGCTGCCCCAGTCCCTTCCTATGTGATAATTTTTTCACGTGTTTTTAATTTTCTGTGTATGCCTCCTGAATCATGAAAAACTTGATATTTTTAAAAAAATTTTATCATGTTATTATAAATAACTTGTTTCTAAAGTGAAAATCTGTTGAAGTATAAAAAATGCATTAGAAAATTGCATCTTTGTTCACTAACAAATTAATGTAAAAAAAAAAAAAAAAAAAGACACAAAAGAATTTAATAGAATTAAAAAAAAAAAAATCAATAAAAGCTGGTTTTCAAGTTAGCTGCTGCATTTGGTTGTTTTATTTGATATGATCACCCAAATTAAACAGCACCAAGCCTGATCGGTACCTAGATGGGTGAACTCTTAAGAATACCAAGTGCTGTGAGCTTGGATGTGTGGGTGGTGTGATAGCTAATAGGGCAGGTCGATTTTGAAACTGTGGTATTGCACTCAATTTGAAAGTTCTGAATTTGACATGATAAATAATGACAAAATATTTTCTTCCAAATCATTACTGTTTTTTGAGGAAATGAGTTTGAAGATTAAGGTTAGGTTCAAAATTGTAGTTTTGGAATTTCATTCCAGTGATCACTAAAAGCCTTATAGCACAGCCTTATAAAATTTAAAATTTTCTGAAACTACAAATTGTATATGGACAAGATGCATGGCACTAGAACATCTTACTTATTATAAAAAGCAGATTGTGTGTGTGTGTCTGTACGTTTATATATTGGATCAGATTTCCTACATTTTTCTACTAATTTCAACAAAACTTCACAGGACTGCGTAAAATTACCTTGTGGTGGTTCTGACAGTGCCAAAAATAGGAAAAACACAATTGTTTTTGCACGAAATCAATTTGAAAACATGATAAAACACGATTCTGTCGCCAGAATGAAAGGGGGACAACTCATATCGAGTTATACTTATTATAAAACCCAGGTTGTTTGTTTGTGTGTGTGCGTTCATTTATATATGGGATTGGATTTCCTACATTTTTCAACCGATTTCAACAAAACTTCACTTTTTTTTTGGCAGGTAGTGTTTCTTATTGTCTTGCACACTTTTTTCTTTATTTTTACATTCAGAATGCTTTAAAAATTCCATTTACAAGACAATAGTTTATAATAAAATTCTATTCAATCAATAGACTCATAACGATTGAAAACAATGTTTTTGTTTGATTTTGGGTTTGACTAATTCATAAAAAAACCCTAAAAAAAACTAATTAAGACATGCATGTCCGTCAACCTTAAACAATAATCTTTGTCAATTTTATTTTTCAGTCTTTATGATGGTCGATACTTGATCTATCTCTTACTGTTACATCCCCAGGCAACGCCGGGCTCTACTGCTAGTTATTAATAAATCATTGTGCCATTAAATAAAACCTTCATTTACTTCAAAGGGAAATTATATTGAACAATTTAGCTTATTATAATGTAATATGTTATACAGTGCAGGAGTTTGTGTGATTTTCAATAAATAATGCAAATTTAAAATATTTTCTCTTATAATTTCTGCCAAGCAGTATTATGATATTATACAATTTTATCTATTTTTTTGTTTTTATTAATTACTAGCAGCATCGCCCGGCGTTGATTTAAAATATTTTTGCCTTTCCTTGCCTTTAAAGGAGTGCCCTTTGCCGTGCTGATGTTGCTACATGCCTTACTTCTTGCCTATCTCACACTGTGAATTTTTTCTAAGCTCTATACTAAACATTAAATATGTTACAAAAAAAGAACTAAACAAAATGAACACAAAACGATCAGCTTTAAAAAAGGACTCATAACTGGAAAAACCAAATGAAAAAAGAATGTTAACAACAAATACTTTTTCACGCCCAACCCAGTTCTGCGGAATCAGAATCAACGTTGAGTTTAAGCAAGTGAATGAGCCAATTGCTAGTTAATATTTGTGTCAGTCGGCTCTCATGCTGGCCAATAGAATCTTCCTGCCTGTTCATGGCAGCCAGCTAATGGCTCTCATTGGCCAGTAGAAAATGGCTACAAACTACCGTAGAAGTGTGAAAAAAATCGATTATTTCCACTGTTGATGGTATTTGGAAATGCAAAGTCAGTCTTGGCCTTCCCGCTAACTTGGAGCATGTGCATGTAAATTTTGGTGCAAATCTGTCGAAAATTGCGGCCGTGCATTTGTTACACACACACACATCCTGCCTTTTATAGATAGATGATTTAACAAATATTATTCATTGAGTAGACTGTTTTTGAAATTTTTTACAATTTTTTTTACACAGTTTTTACTTATTGAATACAGTAAAAAAAAATTGCATATTTTGCTTGTGGTATTAACAATTAGAATTCTGGTTTGAATATATTTTCCATGCAATGTTAATTTTCTTAAAAAGAAAAAAAGTGAAAAAATCAACCAGCCCTAATGAAGTAATAGCTCAGAATTGTTAATTAGAAAGCCAAGTTCCAGTTCTGGTTGGGTTCATTGCATTAATTTATGTGCAGATACCTATCAATCATTTGTTTTATTTGATTACTTTTGTAATAATGAGAGTAAAGTTTTTATTTTTTTCTTTCCTTCTTAATTGTACTGATGATTGTTTTTAATTGCAAATTAGCTGAAGTAAATAATTAATTTCTGTTTTAACATGAGCCATAATTTTACCGTTTATTTTTTTTCTCTATCTCTTTAGTAATTTTGTTTTGGTTATTGTCAGATTAGGTCAGAGGGACCAAATTATTTTTTTAACAAAGTTCACTGCTATCATGGACATTTGAACTCTTACATAATATCATCTATGTTTTTGTTAGTTGCCATTAGGAAATTGCTTTTTATGACTATGCTTTATTTTGGTGACTAAAATTTAATTTATTAAACTATAAAGAATGACGTTTGTCCTTGATATGAGTTTTTATTTTTTTTTATTTCCATCATACCATGTGACACATCTGTGTCACCGACCACTCAACATATCAATTAATCTAATTAGTGAAGGGATGATGAATAATGCTTGAATAAACATTTTACTAAGTTAAATATCTTATTATAATTCTGCTTGTCCATTTAGTTAGCACGACCATTACACCCTGCCAATACCTCACAAATAATGGACTATTTTGTTTTGATTGTGTGGATAGAAGGGAAAAGACATATGAGCAATTCTGCTTGGTTTCAGTGAAGAAAATGAAAGAAAGAAGGGAAGATAGAAATGTTTAATGGCTGTTTCAGAAAAATGGAAAAAGTTGTCAATTTCATACCTTTTCATTTGTACCCCCTTACTACTTAAAATAACAACCAGCATTCATATTTATGATTGTTATTGCAATTTTTGGTTAAAGTTGTTAGACTCAAATATTTAATGATTTGATAGGTGAATTTCTATGGATATTTTATTGTCATAGAACTTGTCATGAGCTTATTTAATCATTAACTTAAGAATTGCGATTCATCAGAAAATTCAAATAGGAAAACAATGAAATTTTCATGGGTGTTTTTAGTATATTTCTACATATTTTTTTTTTTTGCAGTCCTTTCTATGGAGAAGAATTCCATGGCGAAATACCAAAACGTTTCCGGTATTTGTCATGTTATGTTGTGGATACAGGTTACAAAGCTGAAAAGGTAAGTAAATAATACTTTTTAGATTGCCTTTTTTTCTTAATACATTTAGTTCTATGTGCGTTTCCGTAGGCATTGAGTTATTGGAGGAGCTTGGGACATTCAGCTCCTGTTAAACTAAACAGAAAATCCTTAATCCATAAGAATTCTATTATTACTGCAATAAATTTTTCAAAATTTTCTATTTTATTTTGTTTCCAAAACTTATAAAACTTTTATATAAATCTTAAATATGGAAAAAAAATCTATTGGTCTTTTAGTGTGTTACTGTATAAAGTCTCTATGAGAATATTTTACATGAAATAATGCTGGTGAAAAGGTACATGCACAAAATAACAGAAAATAATTTATTTGCAATACAATATAACATTTATTTAACAAAAAGAAAGTTTAAGAGTTTCTTTTCCTAGAAATAAATTGAATACACAACAAAAATTGTTAATGAATCTATTTGAGTGTGATTTACCTGTGTAGGTGTTATTGTGTGTGAAGCGTCCACAGCCCCTTTTTCTTCAGTGGAAAAAGTTGATGGCACACATTTTGAAAGGAGGGAAAACAAGAAAAGAGTGTTACTTAAGGGTTCACCCATTTATATACCCTCTGGCTGCTGCTGATAATGTGTTTATTAAGGCACAGCAGTCTCATTTCCAAAAATAAATAAAAGCCAAAAAAAAAAAAAAAGGGCTTACATCCACATCTTGTTAAAACACCAGTTCCCATACAATCACTGAAATTAAGCAACATTGAACTTGGTCAGTACCTAGATGGGTGACCACTTGGGAATACCAGCTGCTGTAAGCTTGGATTTAATTGTTAAGCAGTGAGCCATGTTCCAATTCCCATTGGGTTCGTTTTGCTGACTTATGCATAAATATTGTTGGAAAAGGTATGAATTCACTTCTATCTCCCAGCTATTGTTTAATTAGTAAGACTTATTTCACTAAACCATTATATATATATATATATATATATATATATATATATATATATATATATATATATATATATATAAAAAATCTTACAATCTAGAAATTTCTAGCTTTAAATAACCTGCAAGGAGCATCAATCAAAAGCCAAAAAAAAAAAAGAAAAGAAAAATAAGAAAATGTTTATAATAAAATTAAAAATGTTTATAAGAAATGTTTATAATAAAATTAAAAATGTTTATAAGAAATGTTTATAATAAAATTAAAAATGTTTATAAGAAATGTTTATAATAAAATTAAAAATGTTTATAAGAAATGTTTATAATAAAATTAAAAATGTTTATAAGAAATGTTTATAATAAAATTAAAAATGTTTATAAGAAATGTTTATAATAAAATTAAAAATGTTTATAAGAAATGTTTATAATAAAATTAAAAATGTTTATAAGAAATGTTTATAATAAAATTAAAAATGTTTATAATTTCATAATTCACATTATAAGAAATGTTTATAATAAAATTAAAAATGTTTATAAGAAATGTTTACAATAAATTAAAAAAAAGAATCTTTTTATGAGGTTTAAAAAATAAATTATATAGAATCAGGTATCTTTAAAATTTAACATCTGATTTAACTGTTATTTTGTGATAACATGGTATATTTGTTGTATTACTAGGTATTCCAAACTGCCTTGGTTTACAGTGTGAAAACATCTCTAAATAGTGTAATTTCCTTCTATTTCAACTGCTGATATCTTGTTTATTTTCATGGATATTTTGATAAAATTAGTATGTAAACAAAATTTATTCTTTTCTCTTTCAAATGATACAATTCTTTGTCATGTATAATGATTAGCTTTTATTCTATGCCTTGTTAAATTATGTCACTATATCAATGATGGCTGGCACTTTTTCGCAAGTTGACAATTTCATAGTTGTATATTTAAAACTTGTTACACTCTGAGTTGTCTCCCTAGATATCTCAAAAATATTCCTAAAAGGAAAAAAGGATGTCTGTCAATTTGGTGGGCTAACCATGAGATTTGAAGATGCCTTCCACAAAAAAAAAATTTCTAAGTTGAAAACTTTAGTGGATGGCATACTGGAAAATTCAACTCTAAAAACAGGAAAAGTATACTGCCTTGTAAAGCAAAGTCTCATCTTCAATAATTGGTTTCATACCTCTGTGCCTATACAACTTGAGGTGCACACAAATTCAAAAGAGGGTATACTATTTTCTTGGGTCCAATTCATCTAAATTTGTGTTAGGGTTGAGTGAATGAACATTGCCAATATTAAATCAGACTTGTTTCTTCAGTGAATATTATACAGTTTAAATTTTTTTTCTAATATTTTCTTTAATGATGTATTTTAAAACTATATAAAATACTTATTGCATTTTGTCTAAAATGTCATGCTTGAATCATTTTCACCTCAGGTGTTGTTTTTATACATTTTCTTAGAAAAAAACATTAATAAATACTTTTTTATGGCAAGTTGAATAACTTTTAAAGTGGGCTTCTGGATGTGTTTTATTGATGTATTCTTGAAACAATTTAGCTTCATTTCTGTTGTGCTATAAATTATAGCAAGAAGTTGTGAGTCATTAAGTGTTGAGATGAAACTTATATGATCAGTCAAATGTTTTAACTATTTCATTTTGAGAATGCAATTTCCCCCCAATGTTTTGGCTGGTCTGATGTAATAATTATTGATTTCATTAGTATTATATTTCTTTTACTTCAAGACTGACTATATGACATGATCCCTATAATGATTTTTAACTATTCCAAAGCTTGCATCTTCATTTATACACTGTTGAAATTGGCTTCTGGCATAATTTCTAATTCAGTATAGAAGATAAGGAAATTGAACATAGAATAGGCTTCATTAGAAATAGTTTCGCCCAATACTGCAAATTGCTACAAAATTTTGGGTTTTTTTTCCATTTCATCCCAAGCAAGATGATAAAGCCACTAAGACTAAGGGTTACTGAGTGTAAAAGAATATGTGTAAAAAAACATTATTAAAGAGAGAGAACAATAAAAGGACAGACATTAAAAAAACAAAAGATAATGCTTAACATTGCATTTACTTATTTGAAGATCAAAATTGAATGGAAAGCAAGAAGCTGGAAGAGAGTTCCACAAGCAAGAGGTATCAGAGAAGAAACTGTTAGCATAGAACTTATGGTTATTGATGAGATGGAAAAGTACTAGGAAAAGGGGAAAAAGTCAAACAATTATGTCCTGACCCCAAAAAGAAGAGGTATTGAGCAAAATTTCATGGGAAAATTATCTCAGGAAAAGTGTTGTAATGGAATGTCCCACACTCCCTATCACTTATGTAGACTGACTATATCAGTAGCTATATATGGTGAGCACAGTATATGCCTGGGGGCTTGCTTTGGGAATTACTAGCCTGCCACATGATTCCCTGTCTTTCAGTAGTGCATTCTCTTTTACAATAAACCTCTCTTCTATGTGCGTGTTGCTGTTCCTTCACTCGAGTACCACTTTTGTCTGTTTGTAACCTCTTTAAGGATACAAGTTATATCTAGCAAAATGATGAGACCTAAAAAAACTAAAAACTCAAGTTATGTTTTTAAGTAGCCTTATCAGATCAAGACATTCAAATTGATGCTGTACATGACACCAAACGTGTTCAGAAATATCTTTCAACTGTATACAACTGCTTTCTCGGCTCAATGGCTAAAAATGGCTTCAAGAGAATGAAACCTGTAGATCTCAGTGAGCATCTTTCTTCTTTGAACCTTGTGAACTGGAACTGTAGAATCACAAATAAAGAACTGAACAAAATAACAGAAGCCACATTACTTGTGGATTTTCAACAAAAGTAACAACTAAAATTGATATCACATGTCACTTGAAGAGAAAATGACATAACATGTTGACATTCTACATTACTTCAAACAAAACGTTAGGAAGAAAGTCCCTATCAATACTGAAAAGACCAATAACAAGTAGTGGATTTTAGAAACCTATTTCTCTGAAAAATTGTTTTAAGACAAAGATTTTATAAATTTCAGATAACAGCCGTACTGACTGCTCAGGCAATGAATACCAAATGTTTCCTTATAAGGAAACTGTTGATGTTACCCCCTCCCCTAGCCAAAATAAAGAAAAGAAAATAATTTTATTTTCATTTGAATTTGAAATGTTCTATTAGGTTTGGTTTAGTTTGCTTTATGGCATATCAACCTCAATGGGTTATTTAATGCTGACAAATTTTTATTGCTGGTAATATTTTTTCCTTCAAAAAATCTATTTCTGGTAATTTTTTTTACCTTCAAAAAATCTATTTCTAGTAATATTTTTCTTCAAAATGTATTGCTGGTAATATTTTTTTTTTTTTTTTTTTCCAAAAATGTATTGCTGGTAATATTTTTTTTTTTTTTTAATGTATAGCTGGTAATTTTTTTTTTTTTTTTTTTTTTTTTTTCAAAAAATGTATAGCTGGTAATTTTTTTTTTTTTTTTTTTTTTTTTTCAAAATGTATAGCTGGTAATTTTTTTTTTTTTTTTTCAAAATGTATAGCTGGTAATTTTTTTTTTTTTTTTTTTTCAAAATGTATAGCTGGTAATTATTTTTTTCAAAAATGTATAGCTGGTAATTTTTTTTTTTTTTTTAAAAATGTATAGCTGGTAATTTTTTTTTTTTTTTTCAAAAATGTATAGCTGGTAATAATTTTTTACAAAGTATCTCAGGTATTAAAACCTATTTTTACACTTTTATAGTATTTTGACCCAAGTTTGGGGATTAACTATTTACCCATAGCTGGGACCCTAACAGGTGCTACCACCCTGGGTCAAGGTGGACCTGGGAACATCAGCAATTAAGAGGTGGTTCCACACTCTTCAAAACCTTGTGATCAGAGGCCTTCCTGTTGGACACAGTTTATCATCTTACTCATGACGCGGATGTAGTTTATCATCATACCCAGGACAGGAAATGTCCTATTAGAAATAGTCATTTTTTTATTTTATTTTTTTTTTTATTTATTTGTACATTTCAGTACTTGTTATAAATTTGAGTGAAATATTATCTGACATCGGGGCGGGGGAAAATAGCACTAGTAAGATCAGTTTTAAGTATATGCTAATTATCTTGACTAGGTTCTAAGATAAAGACATCCTCTGTTTCTTTTGACATTTGTGTGTGTTTTTGTTCATTGATATTTTACGCCATCACAAATATTTTCATCACTGAATATCTTTTCACTGATGGAAGTGTGAGGTGGTATTATGGTAATATTAACCATTTCCTTATAAGGAAACATTTAGCATTGATTGACCAAACGGCTACTGCTACCTTTCGTTCAAATTTATAAAATCTTTTAAAACAATTTTTCAGCAAAATGGGTTTCTCAATTGCATTGTTATTGCTTTTTCTAGTATTGATAGGGGTTTTCTAGATACAAATCCTATTTAATCCATAGCTGGGGGGAGAAGAGATTGATTCATAACTTTTCCAAGGGTATTTGCATGTAAGTGAATGTAACAAACTCAAGTAGAATTTAAACTCAGTGCTGCAATTTCTCATTCTGATGTGCAGAAGGGGAAGAGAGAGACTTTGAACAGAATCATGTTGTGCATGAAAATCTCAAGAGTGATGTCTGTAAGGGTCTTGATGTTAATTTCCTTGAGAATATTGATCTAATGAATGCGTCTAAGTAGGCCAGGCCTCAAAAATCATCAGAGATGCGAGAGAGAGAGGGGTCACACACTACATGTTATGCAGCATTTCTTGCAGAAAGTGTAAAAAAAAATAAAATTCCTCAGTTGGTGGATTAAAACAACATTTGAAAGTTCATCAAACTATTAATGTGACAACTACTGCAAGAGGCGACCAAC